AGAGAGAGAGAGAGAGAGAGAGAGAGAGGGAGAGAGAGAGAGTAACAGGAATGAAGGACTGAGCGGGTTTTTGTGAGGAAAACGGTAAAATTTTAATGGTGAGAGATTCAGGCCTTTATTATTTTTTTCGAACGCCTACCGTTGTTAATCTTTTACTTGCTGCGTAGCCCTTCAAAACACGAAAAGCTTTCAGAACGGGCGTATAGTGCTTTATCCTGGAAGTTGGTGTGGGGGTGTGGTTAGTGCTGACTTCGTTCCTTAGAAATTTACCGAGGGCCACAACAAAGGAAGTCATGTCGTTTCACATTGATATGCTGTTTGCCGAAATGCTGAATAATTCAACCACCACTGAACTGAAACATACACTTTCTGGAGTTCGCTTCAAATTTGACGCTGTGGTTCCTTTCATCCTTTGTCTTGCGTTACAATACTTCGTTACATGACCAAGCAGATAAAAAAATGTCCTGCACAGTGGCGACCAGCAATAGTGTTTCTAAAATAGTTCACTTTGTCGCAAGGCGGTATGCTGGCCTATCGTGGAAACATACATTGTACTGGTAGGCCTACTGTGTATAATGAACAGCTTCCTGAGTAATGGAAGTGACTCAGTTCTACTGCAATCCTTTTTTTTTTAAACCTTCCCACTGAAACGATAAACAGGTTACAGCGGCTTCAGAATCAAGCTGCTTTCATAGATCTAATCCTAAAGAAATCTATCAATGCTGTCAAGAAGCTTGTACAATGCAACTCGGATTCAACGAAAGGAGATGGATTCCCTCTTTTTTTTCTTCTTTTAAATAAATGAAAATAACCCGGATTCAACGAACACTTAAATCAGCAAGCTCAGATTCAACGAGGTCGCTTCTAGGGTGAACAGCCCCCCCCCCAATACGTCATGGCTTCGCTCATTTTTCTCCCATGACCTGTCCCCGTCGTTTTATGCAAGAAAAATTCTGAAATTATGCAAACTGAGCCCCAAAATGTGAAATTATGCGATTCTGTTAATTTTAACAAAGAATGATAAAGGAAAGTAATCAGAAACTATGCAAAAAAAAAAAAAAAAAAGATCAAATTTTGATAAATTATGCGGGGAGCATAAAACCCACAGGGGGACAGCACAACGGACACCATCCAAATATATTCTATTCCACCTGGATCGTGCACCATTACAAGTACATGTATTCACTTAGCCGATTGCACGTGACCAATCAGCGGCCTTCTTTCAAACGAACACATGCGCTGTTGTTGGCACACGAACGTGTCTACTCAAGCTGTGTCGGGGTCGGATGGGCGGCCTGCACACGCGTGACTCTGTGTGCGTGTCGGGGGGGGGGGGGGGCCCCCACTGACCTAAAAAGATGGTCAGTGGGCGGGGGCACCAGCAGTCCGGGCGTGGAACGTCGCAGATACAGAAGCGTCACAGTATTCTTTCTCCCCCCCCCCCCCCCCCCCGCCCTCTGCAAGTGATCATTTACAATCGATAAGCTAGTCTTGACGTAGATATACGTAATGAATTGTGCGTTGGTTTATGGAATCCAAAGTTACCGTATGCTTGGTTCTACACTGTAACGCAACTTTTTGGCAAACAATAGAGATGACACAGGCTTGCATTTGAACGAATCGGTCTTTTTTTAAAGCACAGCTCATAATATACAGACATTTCAGGCACCACTTGTTACTTCTCTTTATACATTCCTTGCTCAGTGCCTGTAATTTACCCCCCCCACCCCCACCCAACAAACCCCCCCCCCTCATGTTTGCTATAACTTATAACGAACACTTGGATTCAAGGAGATTTTAGGTCAGGCCCGGTGACTTCGTTGAATCCGAGTTCCACTGTAATACCAATGTCAAGCCAAGCACTACATCTACAAGACAAGTGTGGGGAGGGAGCACATCATCGAAATGCGTTTGATCTGGACCTAGGCATTGCTCGCAGAGACGCGTGTTAAATATTGTCAAGCAATCACCGAGTGCACAATGTACATGTATTATATGTTTCGCCTAATGTATACTGCGTAGTTCTGGCAGCAACTGGGTAAATGTACAGTAGTTTAAAGGATCGAACAACTGAGACAGTTGACAGATGGTGTTGAAAAGGTGCAAATACTATGTTAATAAGGGATTCTGTTCGTACACGATTGGCAAAACCTGGAGGTACAACAGTACATGTACAACAGGGACGGGGAGGGGGGATACAAGGTTTGTTGACTGTATTCTTGAACCCCCTCCCGTCAGTATCAATTTAGCTAAATGAGGTTGTAGCAGTGAAATCGAATGCTCATTAGAAATACATGTACTACAACTGCAGATGCATCCACGTATTGGTTTTAGTAGAGGTTTTACGGTGCTCGCAAATGCATAAGGTCATATGAGCGCCAGACGATTAGAGGTGTCACAAGAGAGTAACAAACATAAAAAAGAAGAAGCATGTGTTGTGTGACGCAAGCCTAAACATCGCTTGACACCTAAGTTGCACACCTTCGCGGCTCAAGACCAAGCCATAGACCCCCACTCACACACAGGCCCAGAACAACAAACTGCTGTGAAAGCTTTCATTTACAGTTTGGACACACACTTCAAGTGCTTGTCAATACACGTTTTCCTGTTCATTCAAAATTTAGTGACAACATGCAAGTGACACGACTGAAATGTAGATTTGCCCCGCCACCGACAAACACTGCACACGGTGTACAACACCCAGTGACTGGTTGGCAACTTGATAATCTTTCTCCCCCTAAAAGGACATAAAGATAAAGAGAAAGCAGACTCTTAGCTCTGAAAACATGTGCATGTACATGTTTATCAACAAAAAGACCCTTTTCAAACCCAGATCGCACAGCAGAATCATGTTAAGTAACCCTATCCGTACGCCCTGGGGTCCTTTTGTACCCCCGGGGTTGTATTCTTCACATTTTAGAATACTTCTAATACGAAGATCTCTTTGAAACTTTCAGTATTTCTCAAAAAATTATTTTGACAGACTGCTATGCAAAGTGTACAGATTAGATTAACGAGTAGATTTCCTCTTTGGAAAGTGGTGATACAGAGTTCCCAACGTCGTATGGATACGATAGTAAAACACGACGTACGGATAGGGTTAATTGACAATAGGCAGTCCAGGCTATACAACAAAGGAACCTCGTTGAACCATCAGGCTCGCTGTTCTACCACCTTCATGCTCATTCCAAGGGTGGCGGTATTAGTAATTGTGAGGTTTGACTGTACTCCATACTCAACAAAACACAATGAAAGTGAAAAACAAAACTGTGTTTTTTTCTGAAAATGATTTATTCCTTTCACACGCAAAACTTCTGCTATCACCAATGAACAAATACACTTGAAAGATCTCACAGCAGTACATGAAAACAGATAACAAAAACTAATTTTTTTAATCTTCAATTGATAATTGGCAACTACATAGAGGTACTCACCACTTGTGAAAAAAACAGGATGATATTCTCAAGCCATTCAAACCTTAAAGTGACAGTTTTCTGCATATGCACATGAAAAACAAATGGATCTTCTGTTACTATAATATGTGATTTCAGAGTGAGGGTGTGCCCAAAATCATTGAACACCCAGTTCCCAAGATACTCTACATTAATGTCCTCTCCTAATCAAATAATATGAAAACAAAGAAAAAAATGTGAGTGAAGTTGAACACTTAGACAATCTGAAGTTCTCATGATTCTCAACAGGTTCCAAGGGAACAATACTGTTGGTCAACCAAAAACTGACAATAGAAGAATTCAATGCAGAGAACAATCCCGTCGACAGGCAGAATACAAACTCCCTCCTTTACAAACTATGTTTTGAAAAAAGCTCTAAGAAAATACATGATACAAAAAAAAAGTAATTGTTACACAAGCCATCGGGAACAGTTGGCTTCTTACAATGCCTTAACGCTCAGGGTTCCCTATCCCCGACTTGCAGCTTTCCCTGGGAGAACAGTTCCCCCCCTTCAGCATTTACTTCTTCTTTTTGCCCACTAGAGCTTCTGCAGCTTGGTCAAACGTGTCCTCTCCGATGTTCAACATGAGAGACGAAGCGTTCAAGTACACTCTGTTCTGTGACTGGGCAATCTGTAACAACGTGAGAGTTTTAGTTAGAGTTCTGCAGCACCAGCAACACAAATAGGCCACAAAAACATTGAAGATTACAGGTGCCCCTAGATAGAGAGTAACAAACAAAGAAAAAAACCAAGGAGAGAAAAGGATGATACACGTTTGATAGGAAAGAAAGAGCAAAGGACACCCGAGCAACAACCAATCAGAACATGCCATGGGCTTATTCAAAATTTCCAGCGGCATATTGGAGTTTGTAGGGAGAGAAATGGAGATTTACATAGACGTAAACTCCCCGAGTCTATTTGGCGATATAAATTTGTTTTTCAATGCACAAATAATGACTATTTGAAACAGAATAGTATGGTTGATCATTAAGAAGTTGCAAAGTTTTGCTTTTAACTCAATTTTGGTTGATATTATAAAAATCATATATTTTTGTAAACATTTAGTTTGATTTCTTTCAAATTCACAAATTTAATTAGGTAGCGTAAGGATGGCCTAATGGGCACTGTGGCCTTCTGAGCGCGTGGTATCGGTGAAATCGGGGTAATTCAGATCGCTGTTTCTTTGTTCTTTCGCTATAAAACACCAAATGCCGTACACCTGGTAAAATGTTCAGCTTTTCCTCGTTACAAAGGTGTAAGTTGTTTATATGTTCAATTATTAGGAGCTGCAAAATCGACGAGGAAAGCGAAGCCCCTCGCGTTCCGAATGCGTTGTCGGCCAGTTAAAAAATTGACACGCGTGAATTCAAATGCTTCGCGGAAAGATTGATGATTAAATACTATCTTTTCATTTGTGGAGAACTGTAGAGCTTTGAACGGGCTTTCCCCTGGTATATTTTTGGCCGTTGGCATTTAAATACAAAGTCTTTAAAAATACTGTCAAAATTTTCAAAGGTCATTTTTTACACTAAATATGCAAAATACAGACTCAAAAAGGGTAGCAATAGAAAGATCAGTTCATTTCCTATAAGAATAAAGTAATGAGCTTGGAATTATTTTAAATTGATCCTTCCGCGAAACTCGCGGTACACTACAGTATAGAGCCGACTCGCTCGCCATGGGCGCCGGTGCGGCACCGGCCGGGTCAACGCTCGGTGTTTTTGTCGAAATAATGACAGATCATCGTGTTTGACTGAGGAGATAAAATACTGATTGGTACTGATCTCACAGTCTTGAAAAAAATTAGGCTCCATACATATTATGTTATAGTGATTGTACTCTGTTCATGTGGAGATGTTTAGTGCACTTGGTACTCTTTTATTATCTGTCAAACATGGGGTTGCAGCCAGTGAGCGACTTTAACAAGTTCAATAAAATTTAAAACAACTAGCATTTTCTTAAAAATTGACTGAAAGGTTAAAGAATGGTACCAAAATGCTAAGGGGATATAGGCCTTTCACATGGAACAGATTAATTTGGCATACAGCTACTTTTAAAATTTAGTTTCTGGTACCTAATTTAATGTTCTCATGACAGAATTCTATTTCTTCGCAGTTTTAAAAAAATTAATCGAAAGATAACCAAGTTATTGCCCTTTAAAAGAGTCTTCCTTTTTTAAACACCCGGTACAATCATTTATGTTGTCCTTAGGTAAAAACTTAATGGAATTTAAATAAGAAATGTTGAAAAAAGGGCCCTTGAACCCCCTCTAAAGCATTGAGCTGAGGCAAAACGCCCCATGAAGCACGAGAAATAAAAAAATAAAAACCCAATGCCCACACCCTAAATGAATAAGAGAAAACAGGACTGAGCGAGTTAGGGGGAAACCAATAAATCATCTGACAAGAGATACAATTCAGGTGCACCTTTCCTGTTTTTTTTCTCTTCGCCTACCACAGACAGATGCAACAGTCATTGAACCTAAACTCTGTCACCATTCTGGACAGCATACAGAAAGCACTTACCGTACGAGCAATATTTTGGGCTGCTCGGATCTTTCTCAGCTTCAAGTAGCCCGGGTTCTGGTTCATGGCCTCGCCGATGTGACTTGGTCAAGGAACACAACTACACAAGAAGTGCTGAGTGAGCATAATGCAAACTGGTCCACAGCAGAAAAAGTCCATTCAAAACAATACAATACAATACTGTGGGCAAAACCTTTTCACCCCTTCATTGCCTTCTGACCTGTTACTTCACAGACGCTGACAAAATTTGCAGTTCTTAGTTGCCTATAGGACATCGCATGTGTGTCCTGCTAATCATCCGGCTTCAATTTTTCTGCACTGAGATTTAGTAAAAAGCACAGAGTCGATTTATATGCGGGAATAAAAAATGCACAAATCGGAACAGTAGTCTCTGCCAACAAGCACGCCATATATATAGGTAAGCTTTCATCATAAGACTGGCCACTTGAAATGTTGTGTGGCTGAATGCTCTTCACGACTATCACCCACAAGTTTCTCTAATCTTTTCTCAATATTCAAGTACACATCTGCATAGTGAGTCATTCTTCCTGCTTTATTTCACCATTCATTTAACTCCTTTATAGAGGCACTTGAGATTAGGGAATATTTTACGAAGACAGAGAAAGCAATCTCTATCACCCCAAGGGAGCTAACAATAATCACTAAAATATTAACCCTTAGAGTGCTGATCGCGACCGGCTGAACTTCCGTTAAGTACTGACATTGGCATAGTATAACGCGATATACGAAAAGAATGAAGTACTCATTTTTATACTGCTGGCTGGTAGGCTACGCAGAAATGATTTAGGCCGCCATTTTTCTTGTCACGGGTTTCGATTGAGGCGCGAGGAGTTTTTTGTTTCACGTTGCCCCAAGTCAAGTGACAGTGAAGTCTGAAAATTCGTGATTGCGACCCGCAACAAACATGAAAATAGTGTCGCATCAGATTCAGATGAAGATGTTCCGAGTACTTTCCTTGAATCGGAAGATGATTTCGAGGATTTTGATGCTAGAGCTAACACTTTGTGGAAGATAACGTAGGCCTACGAAGCATCTAGACTCTGGTCTCGATCTAGAGATCTAATGAACCGGAAGTTTTTATTCAGACATTTCCAACACCACTACTACAACAATAACTTCACAAAATACTTTTTGCTTCACATATTCTTAAACTTGTATTCTTACCTTTATTAGAAATTTTGACAAATAAAAAAGTTATTAGCCAAAAAAGGAAGCAGTTGTGCAAACATGGCGTTTTTCCAAAATAAATTCAGCACAGAGGGAAAATATAAGGGGAAAGAAGTCAGTGCTCTAACTGTTAAAATTAAGGGGAGGTGGCTAATGAAAATGCCAAAACTCAGTTCCAACCATTTTGTAGCCACTTTGTATGCATCAATGGATACATACACTTTAAAAGAAGTTTTGTGAAAAAAAAAATTCATTTTTTATTTTTTTGTTCTTGTGGCGGCAAAAAATGGCGCCGATTCAGTAAAATTTCTTTATGTTTTATAAACAGTGTTTCTACAAAACCAATATGGATAGAAGCTTCATACTTGGTATATATGTTATATATTGCTTGCTTCTCCTCCTTACAGAACCAGATTTCAAATATCTATCATATGTTTTCCAAATTTTACCCTCACTTTGACCAATGTTCAGAATTCCTAGGCGATGCTGAAATGCAAAAAATGCCAAATAACTCAAAACAGAATCAATATTCAGGAAAAGTGCCCTTGTAAGGAGGAGGGGACTTATCTTGGAAATAATGTGTGAACATTTCAATGAAATCTGACTGTTAGTTATTGAGATACACTTTCTACAAAGTTACCAGTTAGGCGAAAATGCAATTACGAGAAAAACGCAGTTTTCGAAACATTGTGCAATCACAAACATCTCGGTTTTCACAAAAATCCAACAAATATTCAGCAACATACACCACGTTTACACAGCACAGGCTATTTAAAAAGCTTTTTTGACAAGTCTTTACATCAATTCCATGCCCTCCCCCCCCAACTGTTCTCTCACAATTGAATCTCTGCCCCAAGAATGTAAACTGTCATTTGTCTTTCAGTTTCTGTTCTTAAATGGGAGAAGAAGCTAAAATATGTATGTAAGGTAATAGGACATTCAAGGGCTTATGTGAAAATTTCAACCAACTCTGACTGTAACTTTCTGAGATTAAATCAAAATAGTGCAGCAGATTTGGCAGAAAAGTTCAGAGTAAAACGCAAATAAAGATTTTGCATGCTAACATGCCCGTCTAAATTTATATGTTAGTGTTGCCATACTGAATTGTTTAGGTAAATTGAGTTTGTTGTTAGCCTTTTCCACATTAAGAAATCTTTAAATGAATTGGCAGGTGACTGCCTTTCTTAGAATTAGAAGAGTCGAGACTTTGTCGAGCCCCCCCCCCCCCCCCCCCCAAAAAAGCTGCTACCTCCCCTTCATTTTCTTCCCATGTGTTTTGGTTTTGCAATGGTGGAATCTAAGACTATGCAACCAAGAAAGGCACACTGTAAGCTGGCACTACATGATACTATCTAGATCTAGATCTGTATATTTTCTCAATTAATTTTATCCTATCTATAATTAACATCAATATATATTTTATATTTCTGCACAGTCGCTTCTTTCAATCTTGCTTGAAGGGGTTAACCGGCTTGGGGAACACTGGTCTCCGATTTTTAAAAACCCAATAATAATAAAGTAAAAAAATTGTTTTAAATAACACTAGGCCTTAGAGATTTCTATTGCTAGATCTACGCTAAACAGACTTGTTCACTGCGAACAACCGGAGAGGCTAGGGAAGCCATCAAAACAAATTTATCCTAGATCTAGATTCTAATTCTATAACTTTGTCGATCGAGCGCAACGTAGATCTGTAGATCTATACTTTGAATACCCCAGCCACATAATCATGAAAAGTACTGAAGGCTATTATGTATTATATGTATAATCTCAACAGAATGTGAACTGGATCCTGGATTAGCTCACTCAAAACGACGAAGACTAAGACTAAGACATCGAATCGAATCACGATCACTAGATAGACAGATGAGAGAAGACGAATAAGAAGGAGCATGTGTTCGGTAGGCCTTGTCGGGCCGAAATACTACACAGAATTGCAAATGGACATGATAACAATAATTATTCAGCCTGTAAACAAGATTTATTAGCGTTGAAATCGGCAACACGATAGAAAACTCTTTGAAATGCAGCGAAAACGTTCACGTTCTGTCTTGCGACACGCAGTGAAAACAATGGCCCGGAGGGGAATCCCCTTCATTGCTACCGGCTCGGCGAATGAAAATTCACGGTCCGGTCACGTGACAGAAGTGGCCAACCGGTATTTTGTACAGGGTCTTCAAACATACCTAAATGGGTCCCCAGAGTAGTTCCGTAAGAAAACGAAAGTGCAATAATCGAATAGTTCTTATCACGGCCTTTCCAACGATACCAAACTTGATTACCTTGCAGCCATGGAAAGTGTTGTTGTCATGGGGTAAAGTTTAGCATTTCTTGACATTTTGTTTTAATTTTTTTGCCCCCCCCTACCGCTTTCAAAGACATTTTTATATATATTAGAGGTCTCTTTAGGTTCTGGGACCTTCACAAACGGATTCTTGACATATTTTTCTGTAAGAATATCCAAATACTCGAAGTTCCATTTTTTTAAAAGCAAATACCCGATTGTCTAGGGGATCGAGACCCGCAGATTCCCTTAAGGAAATGAGATGGTGGCGTCCCTTTCCCCCTTTGCACAGGTTTACATTAAAAAAAGGAGTCCATGCACTTAGGCAGAGACTACAGTCCCCCTAAAACGTTTCAAAAGGAGTTTGTGAGGTATATAGTCTACTAGACGTGCCCCCCCCCCTCCCCCCACATAAGTTGAAAGCGTCTTTCATGCATGACACTACGGCGACCCCACAGAGAGAGCAGATACCCCAGATGCAAGTAGTAGGTCAAGTAAGTCCCGAACAAAGGGCTCAAATAGAATTTTAACACATGATAAAAACAATAGCTAGCAGAAGCGATCAAGGATATGAGTCTAGCAGATTCTGCCTCTCCTTCAGCTTGCACCACCTTCTGCTGCTTCTCCTGGATGGCCTTTTCCACCAAGAATTGGGCTCTCTGGGCGTCTTGTTGGGCAACCTGGAAAACACCAAACCAACAAAGACATGAACACTTCCTATTTGTGGAAAAACAACACCTACACCAGGAAAAATTTAAAAGGGTGATCCTGAATGCATAGCACTCGTCTCTCTGACAGGACAATGCGCCAAATAGAAATGTACCAGGAAGAATGAGAAGTTAAGCATGGAACTTTTGCTGAGTCAATCAAAATTTTCCAATTGTCAGTGCTATGGAAGTCACTAGCTGGAAATTGGGAGGGAGGAAGAGAGGGGGATTGTAGAGCTCTAATTTTATCAGAGTACTTGGTTCGTCTATTTTTGTAATACTAATAGAAGAGCGGTCTTCCACAGCTCAGTACGTCAATTTTGAAAAGTGCCTGGTTTCACCACGATGCCACACACATACATTGTCTGAAACAGCCATCTGCACTGGTCACAGCCGAAAGTTCCGTATCCAGGATTCTAGCATAATTTATATCTAAATCATTATATACTCATGTGCACATAATAATAATACATAAATGGTCATATTCGTATTATAAACGTGTGAGGCATCGTGGTGAAATCAGACGCTTGACAAACTTGACTTACTGAGTTTTGGAAAGCCACGCTTCAATTGTTAATCTATTGCCACACTGACCTGCTTGGACTCGACTGCAGAGGTGTACTCTTTGCCAAAGCTGAGCTCTGTGATGGAGACATCGTCGAGAATAATGTGGAAGTCTTTGGCTCTCTGCGTCAGCTCACGACGGATCAACAAGGACACCTGCTGACGCTGGGTGATCAACTGAGAAGCGTTGAATTTGGCCACAACACTTTTCAAAACCTGACCAGAAGAAAGATCCCCAATATTTTGCTGGTACATTTAAATTGGAAAATCAATAGAGAGCATGCTCTCAAACTGGGAAGCTTAACACCATACTTAATCCAACACCCACTCTGTACTTACTTTCATAACCTGACATTATTATCCCCAGGGTTGCCAGCAGGCTCTGACAAAAAAGCCTGAAAATTTTTCAGAATAAAATTCTATGTGCGGCACACATTTGATTAACAGCAGATAAGATATTAACATGTGCCAAAATATTTATTACATAGGCCTAGGCCCATCAGAAAAACCTAAATATTAAAAAAATAGAATATTTTTTTTTTGTTTCTAGTGTAAAACTAGGTAATTAGTTTTAAACTAGGTACCTGTTTCAATACCAAGTACCTAGTTTTTGACTCGTTTTGTTTATTCCGATTTTTAAAATACTAGGTACCTATTTATTAAATTTAAAAAAAAAATAAAATAATGCCCAGCCCCAATAAAAAATGCACTAAATTTCAACGACCTGTTCTAGTCTCCCTTCAGGCCTAGGGTAGCCAATGGCAGATTACAATTTACCGGCGCCACCGATCTCAACCGGAAAAGCTGCGAAAGCCAAAGCTAACCCTAACCCTAAAGCCGGATTTCCTGCTTTAGCTGGAAAACTGGCAACCTTGTATTCAAAATCATGCCATTATCACATTTTTGTTCACTAAAAAAACATGCACTGAGAAACATGTCAGAAGGACTAATGGTGGTCAGCTGCCTCTGATTACATTGTTCTTTGAAGATGAACTTTTCTGTTTGACAAAATTTTCTCAGTGTCCCATTTTGACAACCCATCTTACCCCTTTCTTTCCTAGACATCTTAAAAAAATTGTGGTGTTCAACTGGGAATATGACAGATTGGAACAGAACTCCATAAGATATTATATTCCAAATATGACATTGAACATGACGCAAAGAACTCTTAAAATGACATATACAAATTTTATGAAAACTGAAAAGTATGTACAGAATTGTTCCTTGGCGCTGGTGAACAAAAAGAACAACTTAATAAAAAAAAAAAAAGTCATTACCTCATTGCAGATTGAGGGAAGTACTCTCTCGTCAAAGTCTGTGCCCAGCTGTCTGTAGATGTGAGGCAAGGCGATAGCATTGGGCCGCGACAGCACTCTCAAGGAAATGTTCACCATCTGAAGATCTGCAACAAATGAACAGTGAAGATTCTTTACTCATCACTTCGTAATTAAATATGCTTATGATAGACTGGGTCGACGCTGGACAATTCTTAAGCCACAGACTGTACTCAAACACAATTCCTCCACGAAAGCTTATAAAATGATATTTTAATGAAGCATCATCCTAGCCTGAAGGACACGAAATAAAATTCCCTATCAATTTCACCTCACACAGCAGTTATCACATATTTCAACAATAAAACTAGGTTTGACACAATTGGTGCAAAAATATACGATTAAAAACGGGTCCCAGAACAACCAAAACTAAAAGTAAATTTGAGTCTTATTCTCATATTACATCATTACAAGAAAAGTAATTCTAAGTCCAAAGTTTCTTTCTGCAGCTCAAAAGCATGATGATAAAGCGAAAACATCAACATGAAAAGCCTGTAAAACATTTCTGTCAGGATGTTGGATCAAAGCACCTTTGGTTTGCATTTGGTCTGCTTGCTTCCTTTGAGTAAAAAGATGTATGTGAACATAAAAATGGTCATTTAGAGAAAGGAAAAAAAGACAGAGATACAGAAACACCGGAATGAAAGAAAAGAAGTAGCATCAACCTGAACTACAGGTTGCTCCCTCCAACCCCCCTCAAATTTGACTCTGTAGATAAACACTATATAATATATAATTAATACAAAATCAGAGAGAGCATCTCTTAGCGACAACAGCAGTAGCTGAAGTCTTTTTATCATGTCCTCCCAAAAGCAAAGGTTGAAAAACCAATGACTTCTTGACCAGGTCTAGGGCAGATCTCTGGCAGGGTGAATGAGAGGTAACATTAGTTGCCCTGCTGCTGGAAAGTACAAGCTCCACATTTGACACATCTGACCATTGGCAGTGAAAATGAAAATCATTATTGAGTAGGCTTTATCTTAAATTGGGGGCGAGGGCGGATTTCATTTGATGACCATGAAATTTTATCAAGCCGAAATTTGCAGGAACCCTTTCAGATTAGAAAAAAATCAACTGGCAATACTGCCTGTAGCAGCTGCCTTGGAATGCCCCTGCCAAAGGCAACAGTGATTGCAGTCTAAACTTCCTAGCTAAAAGACTTAAAATTTTCTCATACATTTATTAACAAAAAAAAACAACAAACCCAGTGAAATTCCCCCCCCCCCCCCCACCAAAAAATAAACAAACAAAAAACCCCCAAAACAAAACAAAAACAACAACTAAAATAAAGAGTAAAAATATGAAACCCTACTTCTCTTTCTACACACCTTTGCTTCCAGTGGGAGAAGTAATCCTCCTTGGTCGGGACCTAATATCGTAGATAATGGGGTACTGGAACCATGGCACCCTGAGTAGAAAAAGACAAAATGAATCATACTTTTATAACACAATCTATGTAACATACTGTAAATCCAGAAAAAAAAGGGGGTGATTTGCATGTCATTACAATTATCCATTAACAGTAGACTAGGGAAACAAATTCAAAGGTGATTAGTCAAAATCATTCATTTTTATTTTTATCTCCAAAATAATAAATAGAACTTACACCCTGTCATCTTCACTTTCTAAGTAGACAATAATGAACAAGGACAGCAAAGACAACAGACAAGAAAGAGCCAAAGTAAGCAAAAACAGATTTTACAGAACTCCCTGTTCTCTTCAAAATTTCTTTAAAATAGTTTTTTTTCCTTCAAAGCTTTGCTTCTAAAATGGGAATTTAAAAAACAATAAAACGATAATATACAAACAAAATACACTGAATGCCACGAAAAACGCAACGTTTTCAAAAAGGTTAATTAAATACACATGAAGGCCAAATATACTCTGATCGTAACGATTTTTTGAGACACAGGTGAGCAATTGGTTGTTAATCCACACACACACATGCACAATTTTTTCTATTTCCATGAGTACTTTTCATCACAGTACAGTAAACTATGCTTTAGTAAAATGTTTTCATTAGTTGCTGTATTATAAACGAATACAAAAAATTATTTACCTGGAAGACGACCCGTAACTCTTTTCAAACAAAAGTCTTAGTTTTTTTTGTTCAATTATTTGATTTCTTTTTTTACAAGACTTTTTAGTCCTCAAATTAGTGAAATTGATTGAAACTTTCGCTTCCGCCTTGTTCATGGCAGAAAATCTGCCTGAGATTGAGAAGCAGTATTACGGCTAGAATGCAGTTCTTGCATTGTTCTCGACTTACTTACACAAAGATTTTAGCACACTTGAAATGTCAGGGATGGGGAAAAAATAGGACAGCCTCGAGTGACCAGCCCTATTCAAGAGAGGCAGATTTTGCAGTCGCATCTGCGAAATCGTTTCGTTCCTCAAAAGCAACGTCAGCTCAAGGCATGCATGGAGTGCGTGAAAAATGTTTCTTTCATCAGCATGAAGCGCGGAGCATTAAGTTCAGGACTTAGATCAAGAACGCCTTGTTCAGGACTGCAATTTACGAAGCCAAGACAACAGTGCCGTCTTCACGGTGCGAAACAGTACAAATAAAAAATCAGAATCTCTCAGTCATCCAACACGACACTCCTGCCTTTACAGTACACTGTAACACTGCCCATTTAACAAACAACACAGTTTCTGGAAGGTCATAACATGAAAGTCATAGACCGGTCAGTGAAGGCTACTGCCTACAGACCCGCATGTCTCCAACAGCACACGTACGGGATGAAATGAACTGCAAAGCGTGTGCCGTTTTGCGAATCTGCAGCTATTTGGAGATCGCGCTACCGCGAAAGTGGAAGAGAATTTCTCAAAAAAAACATTGAAAATGTTATGAAATATATAGATCTAGATATGTGAATAATTGCTTTGGCCTGTATAAATATTAATGATGGCCACACAATTTACCAAATGTGTGAGAGATCTTTACTGAGTTTTGATTTGTGTATATTTATCTGCAAATTTGTCTTAAGGGGGTACTCCGAAAGAAGGAGGACAATGTATTGAAAGCAGTTTAAATGTGTGATCATAATGGTTCACATTTGCTGGAAATTGAATAAACTTTACAAAACACTTATTTTAATATATTCATTTAAAACAAATATGTTTAGACCCTGCGAACGAAGTGATGCGTTTTAATTGTTTTTTTTGTATGTATTTTGATGGAACTTTATAACTTACTTGAAATGAAGCCCTTCAACATAGATATCTGGCTTGATTCCTGAAAGTCTGCTAAAGATGATAGCTCTATGACCACCCTCAACTGAAAAAAAAAGGGAGCATTAATCACGAGAGTGAAACATGTATAATTTTACATTCACTACACCTGTCCTATGGACCTATGACAATCAAATTGGACAAAAGGTTCCAGGATGCAAAGAAACGCTGTTATTATGCCTCAGCTTGCGTTGTCTTAAATAATGGAGAGACGTCTGCATCTCAAATCATGGTTATTGGAACAGTTCCAAACAGGGAAAGGAGTTTTTTTAAACTCCCAAATCTGACAATCACTCAGTTTTGAAAGTTTCATTCACACTTGTTTGAATCGGGTTAATTAAAGGAAGGACCATAATTGACTCTCTGCAAACTGTCATTTTTTTTACCAAAGACAATCTCCAGAAAGGTTCTCAGGGGCTTTGTTTTCAGACTTGAATTTAAATTTATTATTTCAAAATGAATGACTGTTATGTTTGTATTGAGTAACAGAGGCACTTCTGGAAGAGGCGCCATCCTCCAAAATAAACATGCGCATTCTTATCAGACTGTGGTCACATTGTGAATATGAAATAGCGCAGGGTTGTAAAATAAAATTTTATAATATATAGTAATAAAGTAGGAAAATAAAGTATTATAATCTAGATTCTAAGTCTGGATGATAAGCCTACTGTTGGTGAATTTTTCAGGAAAAATTAACAGAAAGTAAAACAGAAAACATTATAAATTTTATAAAAAGAAATATTATGAAGGTCAAATCTTACATCATAAAACCAAAACCATCCAAAATTCAGGAACATTGCTCCAAATCTTTTCCAATAAAACTATAGCCGATGTTCTGCATTTTTACAAGCCTAAAGTAAATCTTGGCATTTCAACATGATGCTCTTCATGACAGAATCTAGTCACATTCAAATCATTCATCGTGGCAGTGAAATTTTAGCAGTCACAAAAGTCAAAGTCAAAGGGAATTCTTGCTCAAATATCCCGGCCACTCGTAAAAGCAGGACGGGGTCTACGATGACTGCAACCATTCGTTCCTTTAGCTGGGTCATTTTAATTTTTAACATGCAGATAGATCTAGAGTCTAGTAGATCAAGATCTAGATTAGATTTAGATCAAACATAAAAATTATTAATTTGCTATGGAAATGAAGTCCATTATATTTAGTGTTAGCCAGGTAGAAAATGGACAACTTCCAGCAAAGTGTGAGATGGGAGGGAAGGTAAAAGAATACCAAAACTTAACGTTTATATAGAATCTAGATCTAGATCTATACTCAATACTCAATGACAATGACATGACTTCCAAAATCATCATGATGGAAGACGGGTCGGAAAACCACTGAACTGTGTATAGCCTAGAATTAATCAGAGTCAAGAAGTGCGATCTGTTCATGACAAAATTACGGTAGTTTGCGCATTTTTAGGCCCAGTTCAAAGTTTTGAAGGTCTGAGTCGGGGATTAGACTTTGACTTTGGGAATTTAACGTGCTGAAGTTTAGATCACCGATCACCCAGATCAGTAGGCTAGGCTTGTACTCGATTCCCAATCTAGATTCCAGAAGAGGAAAAAAAAGGGGGGGGGGGCGCTTGGCATCCAGCAAACGTTTCGGTGTATTACGTTATGACCAGAGCAGTCAATGTGAATACATAATATTAATAGGATTAATATAAAATAGCAGTTAACTACAGATCTGACTAGATTTAATAAGAGAGGTCTTGTGTACCATGCAAAATATCGTTTCGTTACATCAGACAGGTCACAGTCACAGAGAGGACTGCTGTAAAGCCGAAGAAACAACACAGGCAAAATTGAGCAAACTCACCGGTGTAAACTGACTGTGTGACTCCATAAATTCCAGATGCAAGAGCAAATATTCCTAATCCAGCACCAATTCCTCGTGGGCCAGCTTTTTTTAGTCGCCCTGCAAAATCAGCAGCTTTCTTGGGGTCCATTTTTCTGTTTAAACCTCTACTTTCTAGCCTTCCTTTCGATATCGGGCATGTGCTATTTTACATTCGTCTCAGGCAAAGGTCAGTACAACGGAAGTGTACACTTTTTCATTGTACACTAAAAGTGATGATGAGTGCACAAGTGAACATGCGCACAGCAGTAGCAACTGAGAGCATCAGAATCGAACATCTTTTCGAGAATGAGCGAGATATGCTTGCCTTTCCTCGATTTCTCACATGCTCAATGAAAGTCAACGATGACTTTTCATTGGAGCTGAAAATGGCGTTTGTTCAAGGAAAGCTTTATGATATTTTCAATCACTAAAATTATGTTATTATGCATAGCGGAGGCCTAAACATATCGAAACAAAAGGCACGTTGTTTGTTCTTGTTTTTATTAGACTACAATGCAACACGATCAAACCTAGTCGATTAGCTACTCGAATGAAACAGAAGAGCTGGAAGTAATATTCGATTCCTAGCAGACGTTCTTACTAGCAACAATATAAACAACATGGCCGCTGTGTAAAATTTGGTGTTTACCCTCGGAAAACTGTCGCAACTGCAAAGGCAGGCCATTATCCGTGTCAGGCCAATTGTTTTAAAAAAGAAAGTAACGGATTGTCTGTTTCAAGTGACTGACAGTCGCTTAAAATGGATATAAATCCATTAGCCAACCCTAAAGGGGTAAAACTTTTATGTGAACTGTGCCAAATCCCAGCTTTTCTGCAGTGTAAATTTTGCAACGTTACTTATTACTGGTAAGCCCTACATTTATTGTTATTATTGCTGTTATTTTTTATGTTGTTGTTGCTTATATTATTGTGCATGATTGCTGTTACAGCACTTGTCCTGGAGCCTTCGTAATTATTTTCTAATATATCTTGTGACGTTTGTACAGTGGTTGGATAAATCTCAGTCACCCGCCCAGTTAAAAACAATTATGATTGAAATTTAATGGTATGGCAAAGTATTTGCTTGGGAAATCAATGCTTTAGGCACGTAGTAGGAACATATTGGCACCTTGTCAAGCTATCTGGTGGTGTGTTAATACCAGGCACTTTTTAGATATGTTTCACGATGCGGTGGAATCAGGTGCTCGTCAATTTTTGGGCACGTGGAGTTATTGGTATCATCAGAAAGCTCACGCTTTTGCTTTGCTTCCAATGAAATAAATATCCATTTATCTTGAATAGAAATCAAGATATCTGCGCTTGAAGGATAGAGAGGTTGTCTGGTTTCTGTGGTGAAATTAGCGAGAAAATGGCCACCAAAGTTTGGTAACTCCAATAGCTGAAGAGTCTTTGAAACTTAAAAATAACATATTTTGTGCCTTTAATAAATGTTTTTCACATCGAAATGCAGACTTGCTTACTGTTATGGATAATCCGTAACTGTTACAGGAAAATAACATCGGCTATGGAGTTACGGAAAGCTGAGATGTTACGGAAAACTTCATCCTTTAAGAAAAAAAAAATCCCATGGAAATTTAAGGTCGGGTAGCTGGGGAGCCCAATTTCAAACCCAATAACTGTCTTATTCCTGCGTAAACGCAAGTAATGAGTGCAATCAGTCGAGACTTACTTTTGCTCTCTGCAGGATAGCCTAGTAGGCTTGCGAAGCGACACGCACTCTGCCTGTGACCGTGCCGTTGGGTTATAATGGGGAGTTAACTAAGTCACGATTGTGTCAGGCAGTCAAGTCTATGGTACGTCTTTCGTTAAAGTCAAAATTTAAGTGACTTAAGGCCCTTGTCAAAGGCCAGAGGTCGAGGGTGATGTTGAAAATGAAAACAAATCAAAAGGTTGTTAATGATAGGCCCTAAAGCCCCTAATAGGCTATCACAACAGGATTTCGTAAGTCACAACGGCTATAATAATTTGAAGTGTACAAACTTAAACAGCATTGTGCGATTCAATCGTTTTTACACAGAAATCTAGATCTAGACATTTAAACAGGGTATTTTATGTGGATGGGTACCTCCGACCGATGAAAAGTAAGTCACTTATGTTAAATAGTCTTCCAGAAAAAGTAAGTACTATGCTTTAGGAATTTTACCATTTGTTACTGAAAAAATGCTAATTGTTACTGATTTTCAAATTTTAAAGTAGGCGAGTCTGGAAATGTGATTTTATATAGACATACAGTCGAACCTGCCTTAACGGAAACCTGTGTAAAACGGAAACCTGTGTAAAACGGAAACCTGTCTTTACGGAATCTCCCCGCTCCCCTCTTTAATTATCTGTATAAAATGGAAACCTGTCCAACGCGGAAACGGAAAGAAAAATCCGCTCCCTTCCGAGTGTTTCACCTGTCTAAGACGGAAAATGCTTTGCACGCTCAGCCCTGATTTGAAACAAAACTCGCAAGTTTGATTCCGCCGACTCTAAACTTAACGCTATGGCCATGCCGCTGGGCGAGGAAGGGGAGTCGTAGGGGTGCAATGGGGGTAGAGTAGAAGTTACTCTATGTTACCCCATCATGTGAGCGCTGAGCGCTGCAGATGGTCAGTGTAGTGTGGGTGTGATATCTCAGGACTGCCCGTGAGAGTGCTCGAGTAGCCAGCCACTACGAAAACTTTCCTGGGTAGCCAGAAGCCAGAGGTGTGAAATTAAATTGACCAATGCCTGCCGCCCTGATCGTACGGCCATCCGAGAAAAGATTTCCTCGAATCGTTGTTACAATGATGGCAGTGAGGGGTAGCATTGGTGGGTGGGACTAAGGGGGGAAGCAAAGGAGAAGTTCAAACGTTTCTGTTTTTAATAGGTCAAACAGTGGTCCTATGAAAGGCAAGCACTGGAGGTAATTGAATAAGTAAGACTGACGCCTGTCACTATCAGACAGGATAGCAGCTGAGAGGTGTGAAGTTTTGACCACTGCTTGCCGTTCGGACAAGCGATCCTTGATCCCACCGGCTGGGCCTTTGAACCCCCCAAACCACCCCCCCCCCCCCTAAATTCCCCTGTCTAAGACGGAATTTTTTTCCCGCTCCCTTGCGATTCTGTCTTACACAGGTTCGACTGTATAAGAGGTTAAGCAAAATAATAAAAATTCACTAAAAATGTCCAAACTGTTGGAAGAACACCTGTTTCTCCGATTTTGTTATTTTGATGAGCACCTGAATTCACCACGCTGCCTCGCATATTTTTCCTAATGCTTTGCATCAGTTCATATATATATATATATATATATATATATATATATATATATATATATATATATATATATATATATATACACAGTCGAACCTGCCCTGACGGCCACCTCTATAAGACGGCCACCTGTACAAACGGCCACTTTCCATTTCCCCCCTTGCGTTTTTTCTATATAATTTAACTGTGTAAAACGGGCACCTGTCCAACGCGGCTGCGGCCACAATAATTTAACACACAACCCCTATAATACTAAGCAATAATACCTGTCTAAGACGGTCACCTTAGTGACTCCATTGCGTTTTGTCATAAATTGTGCATTGGCCCCTGGCGTTGTGGGCGAGCCGTCATAATTCAATCACCTGTCGTTGTTGTTTGGTAGTCCCTCCAACCGATCATGTTGCGTAGGCCCCTCCTACTGTTGACCAATAGCTACCAATTTTCAGCTGCTGGTGAGGTAAGCGTGTGATCCCTCATAACCCATAAGCCCCGCCCAGAACTCATACACTAATCGTAAGTGAGATGAGTGGTTACTGTTTACCCAGTCTGTAATAAAGTAACAAAGGACGTCAACATGAACTTGTTACAAAAGCGTCCCTCGTTCTCCGAGTGGTGGCGACCCATATGTTTGTTTTAACATGGCACTCGGTCTTCCTCGTCTGATACATTTCGTTTTATTGTCACCATTGTGCAAAATCAGCGACAAAATAAAAATTACAAACGAAATACAAACCAACAGCAACAACACCAATAAAGGCAACAACAATGGGGCTACTTTCGATTGGGGTCTCAGATGGGAATGATTTGTTTCCTTTATCTTGATCAGTCCTGCCTAAGACGGCCACCTTTTCTCCTTGACAATGAGTGGCCATCTTACACAGGTTTGACTGTATATATATATATAATATATATATATATATATATATATATATATATATATAAATGTGTACATTTATTATTATGTCTTTAGTTCTAGCAAAAATTCTGCAATGTTTGATAATTTTTCCTGCAGGATTTAAATTATAAATTGCACTCTTCTCCACAAGCCTGATACTTACACATCTGATCATTTTCTAAAACCTAACCATTCCAATCCCCAACTGCTCGCAGTCAGTGCTCAAGATCTCTTCTCTCTCATTCTCTCCCTCATTCTCTCTCTCTCTCCCTCGTTCTCTCTCTCTCTCTCTCTCTCTCTCTCTCTCTCTCTCTCTCTCTCCCTCTTCCCCCCTCTCTCTCTCTTTCTCACTATCTCTCCCTCCACCCCTCCACCCCCCCTCTCTCTCTCTCTCTCTCTCTCTCTCTCTCTCTCTCTCTCTCTCTCTCTCTCTCTCTCCCCCCTCCCTCTCTCCCTCCCCCTCTCTCTCTTTCTCTCTCATTCAACTCAATGGGCGTCATAATTAAAAATTCTTTACAAATGCAGGGAATTTTTATGAAGCTTCTTTAAAATTTAATGTGACATCTGATTTGCGAGCACAAATTTGCTTCCAAATGTCTTGTATTACATGCTGTCCACACTGCACCATGTATGGATTAATTGTGTTCCCCTGCCGTCTTCTACTTTTATCCCATTGTGGTGTTCATACTCTTTACTCCACATTTAAGTGTTGGTAATTATTTTTCGGGGGTAATTTTTTCTCCAGTTCCCTGGAGCACCAGAAGGCTGACTGGATTGGCATTCATGAAAAGATTTGTGACAGACTTGCATTTCTAAGGCAGCCAGTTCCTTTTCTAGCATCTAGGGAGGATCGGGAAAGGAGACAAAAGGAGGTTCAAGTTAAAAAGGTAATTTCTGATTTTTCAGCAGTCACATTATCATTTACCAGATTAGATATTGATTTACTCAAGAGAAATATAATATTCTTACCTCTTGGATGTATTTTTGCAAGCAGATTATAAAACTATCTGATTCATCAAGGTAAAATTGGGAAAAAGGAAGAGAGTAAAGTTGTTTTTTTCAAAGATAGAAATCACAGGATGAAAGAAGCTAAATTATTCAAGTTATTGAGTAGAGAGTTATAATCTTATTACATTTTTGAGGTCATACCATTTTGAACTTAACAGATTAACTTGTTTTTCTAAATTATCTCTTTTTGTTTGTCTTTTTACACACAAAAATATACAGTAAAACACGGGTAAATCGAATTTGTCGGGAATTGGAAATAGTGTTTGAGATATCCGTAATTCGTCAAGTCCGTGAAAGCCCCAAATACAAAGAAATAGAGAGAAAATCAAGGGAGGTAAAAGAGAACATTAAAACCAGTAACGGGGTTAGCTCCCTTGATGAACATGTTGACAGTGTGAGGGCAAGAAGATGAATGAAAGTGGAAAGCAGAAAATCTCACATGTGCACAGCGGACGCCTACGTCATTCCTTTCATCTCATTTCATTGGCTAACAGAAAGTTACACCTCTTGCCACCCGCACCGCGCGCATCATACAGCATGATTGTACACGTGGCGAGCCAGTCATGTGGTGCAGTCAGCATCACTCCCCAACCCCCCTTCCCCATTCCCCCTTCCCCCAGCCTCTCGTGGTGACCACGTTTTTTCTGTAACAATAAAAAAACCCCACCTACCCGCGGCCAGAAAGACTGTAAAGCCGGGTCTTTAGTTGAGAATGCGGAGTGGATTTGTTCGAGATTTGAGTGTGGTGCATTCCGAGTGTTTGGGAACTCCGTGAAGTCAATACAAAGAAAACATAAGGACTAAAACGGGACTGACTATATTATGTTCGAGATACCCGAGAATTTGTGATTTTCATGTTCGAGATTCGTGGACTCTACTGTAACTTTTTGTATAATCTACAGATTGAATTGATCGAAATGACGAGAACTCTTGCTCAGAAGATGCTGTTTGAAGGCAAGCATGAAGAAGCAGTACCAGCAGCCATGCAGTCTCTGAGATATTCTATAGAGGTGTATGGAGTGTCCACTATAGAGCTGGTGCCTTCTTACTTGATACTTGGTGAAGCTAGTGTTGGTAAGACAATATGCAATACACTATGATCAGGAAATAAAATTTCATATTTCTCTTCTTTGGCGCTTGAAGGTAATTTAATCTTTCTCACTTTTGGAAAGTAGTAATACTCCATAAAGGTTGTTTTCTTCCCTAAATAAGCTTTAAATAGAGACTCATGAAAAATATCAAATAAGTTAATTTGCTTTAATGTTTTATCAAAGAAACTTCATGTTTGCAAAGGGCAACTTGGCTTTTCATATTCAGCCGAACTGAGACGTCAAAAAGAGTGAAGAACATTGTTGAGTCTTTTTAGAAATTTGAAAAGTGTAAACCGGCTGTGTGCTTGAGTGTATACAATAATGTGTGTGTGTTTGTTCTGAGGGGGGGGGGGGGGTATTTGTGTGTGAGAGAGAGAGAGAGAGAGAGAGAGAGAGAGAGAGAGAGAGAGAGAGAGAGAGAGAGAGAGAGAGAGAGAGAGAGAGAGAGAGAGAGAGAGAGAGAGAGAGAGAGAGAGAGAGAGAGAGAGATTGTTCATTAATATTATGATATTCCTATTACTTTTCTCTGTCAGCATCTGACTGCAAGGGAAATTTCTTTCAAGGGTAATAAAGTTGTTCTTGTCTTTTCTTGACAGATTTTATCTAAATCATTTGATTGCTGTAGTTATATTTGGGACTTTATTTAAGAGTTACAGTGTCATTACTGGTTTTGTTTGTTTAAAAAACTTAGAGGATTTCTTTATGATGTTTCCATTTTCCTTGAACTTGAAGGCTTTTTCTTCAAATTGCATCTATGTTACATTGAAACAATGAAACAATTGTTGTTTAATTTTGTTCTTTAAACAATTTTCACAATTTTTCATGACCTTGTATTTAACTTGTAATTTAAAAAAAAGAAACATACAGTATTTAGAAATTGCTTTCAATTTCCTCTCAGAAAGTATCTACTTTCATTGGGTTATCTGTTTAAATAAATAAACACAGCCATTTATAGAATGTAACTTTAAAAGTAAAACCCTTTGCACACTTCTACACTCGCTAATCCAAAAAGCTGAAATAAACTACACACACAAGCAGATGCAAAATGAGGGGTACTGAAAGGGTTAAAATTTTATACTAGCATATCCGAATAAAGATGTCTCAAATCAAGGCAGTATGCATATTAAGAATAATTAATAATATGTTTTCATACACACTCGCTTGCACCCATGTGCTCACTCAATCTTTGACAGACAATTACAAACACACATACTGTAAAAGCTGTGCTAGCGATACCAGTATTGTCTATTCAGAGATGTTATTTACCTGCTTCTTCCTTACAACAGGTCTTGGGAAACTTACACAAGCAGAAGAGTACCTTGCCAAAGCTGACTGGACTGTGTTAAAAACCCCGGACTGCTCGAGGGCTATTCAGTCAAAACTGTACCGAAATCTGGGCCTTCTGTATGCTGCTAAGGGAGACTTCCCAGAGGCTCTTAACAACTTTGCAGATGATGTAAGTTCATGAATGTTTTAATGGTTTCTTGGTTTTTGTTTATTTTTTACTTGGCTGCTTTATACAACTGTCTTGTCAAAAAGAGGACATCATTTCCTTTCCATTATACTCCTGTGTTCAGTCAATGAATGTGTAGTAGTCTTACTACTATAATGTCAGAGTTTAGAGAGCATGCCTTTATTTAAATCAGATTATATAAGAAACTTTTCTTTGTAATCATTACTCAAGATAATATTTGATAGACAAACAAATAGTATGTCATGACTCATTATCTCGTGATCAGTGACTCTCTTTCTCATGTTATCATGGGTGGGTGGATTCCTTCTTCCACTTCAAGCAAACTCATGTATATACCCATTCACACACAGACACCCATATACACAGGTACCCACACACACACACACACACACACACCCACACACACACACACAAACACACACTCACACACACACACACACACACGCACGCACACACACACAGACACACTCATACACACACATACACACATACTACAGACTTGCACACACAGTTACATACATGACAACAAACACATACACGCACACACAAGCACACACACAGACACAGGCGCACATACTACACACCTGCACACACAGTCACATATTTGCAAACAAAAACAGTCACATACAAACACACACACACACTTACACACACACACACACACACACACACACACACACACACACACACACAGGCTTGAGGCTCTAGGCTTTAACATGACTTAGAAGAGAAGTGCTGTTCTTTCCCTGTTCACCTTTTCTTTCTGTATATTCACTTGTTTTGCGGTTTGGGATGAACAATCTAGTTTTTCAAATATCTGATTGATTTTCTGTTTATTTCAGATTTATCACGCATCAGAGGAGTTTGGTACTGATGACATCAGAACAGCAGGAGGTTACTTCCACATGGGCAATGTTTTCTTCAGGCAGGGCAAAATGGATGTGGCGGACTCATTGTACAGACAGGTGCTGGCTTAGTTACGGCTTTTTTGAATGGTGATAATATGATCTACATGTATTGTTGTAAATGCTTTATTCTCTCCCCCCCAAATTGACACAATATAGATCTTTTAAAAGGGTCAGCTTCTGTTCTGCCTGTCAGGGTCTGTTTGAATTGAGTAGGATTAGGCACAATAGAGAAACAAATGTTTTGTTTTAAAAAAGTCTTTTATGTCAATTGATTCTTAGGAACCTTTACTTGTGGTAGCTTGATTTTTGCAGGTAAACATGAAACATGTCAATGAATTCACGTTGACTGTGAAGAAACAAAAGAAGCTTTTTGATACAGTGTTTGTTTTTTCATGTGAATAATTGTGCTTCAGAGAGGTTGTAATGTTGTGTCCGGACAAGTAATGCACCTTTTTATTTGTCAAAAGTCAAGGTAATAAACAAACAGTTGTTTTATTAATTGATTTTAAGATCTGATAACAATGTTTATTAATTTTTCTTTTTTTGGGAATCAGCTTTCTGCCTTAAGACATATTCTTTTTCCATTTTTGTTGGTTAAATAATTCCTACATTTTCATCCCAGTGAGAAGACAGCGAAGAAACGGTCTCAAATTTACAATGAGAACTAAATTCTTGTATACCCCTGATGATATCTGTTGTGTTGAGATCTCTCTCTCTCTTTCTCTGTAACGTGTCCAGGTGATTAATATCTGGTACAGCCACCTGGCTGATGTCCTCAAGTCTAACACTCCAAGCGAGGAAGAACTTGCTCAGAGTCGCACCCGCATCCTGGGACCTGTGAAAGGAATGTTTGAGGAAATGGGCAGTGGACTGGGTAAGATTAATGCGCTTTGTTTTGTATTAATCTTGCACAAAACCAGCAACAAAGGGAGGAAAAAACCCCGACTTCATAACCCCCCCTCCTCCCCCACTTTAAAGAAATTAAAGAAAGAAAAACGAATTAGCTTGCCTTACGGTAGTCCTGAGCTGCGACCACCTCCGATTGAAATTTCAGGTGGGAATGGTTTATTTTCTTCATTTTGATCAGTCCTGCCTATGTAAGACAGCTACCTATCTTAGACAGCCATTTATCCTTGCGTCAGTGGGTGACCGTCATACTCAGATTTGCCATGTATATGCCCATTACATATTGAAGCACTGTACTTACATAAAGTTAATTTTTCCCAAAACGTAAAAAACTACAGTACAATAGGGATAGGTCGAACACAGAAGACTCGAAATCACGCATCCGTCGAACTGTGCCTGTGGTCTGTTTTTTTTTTTCTTTCTTTATCTTTGGAAGATATCCTTCAAACTATCGTGGTCAGTCATGACGAATTTGAGCTGTGTTATACTGTATATGTTTAATAAAAATCTTGATTCAGCTTTGGCGGATTATTTTGTTGATAAGGTGAGAGATATTATGAGCATCTCTTAAATGTGTCCCAAAAAAATGTTATATGGTCTAACGGAAACGTTTTGAAATCATTGAATGATGAAAGAGTGAGGTTGTCTATGTTCTTTTGATTCTATCTTAGATGAGGCGCAGGAAGCCGAAGCTGTTCAAATTCTCAACTCAATCCACGACATCCGGGAACATCAGACGACGCGGCTGCCCCAGGACCTGGCTCAGGCCTGTCACGCTCTAGCCATGCTGTACTTTGTGCTGGGAGATATCAAGAAGGTACAGAAAAATGGGTGCTTTGTTCGTCATCCACACATTATTTTTCTTCTTCTTCTTCTTCTTCTTCTTCTTCTTCTTCTTCTTCTTCTTCTTCTTCTTTTTCTTCTTCTTCTTCTTCTTCTTCTTGAATTTCCTAAAAACTTGACATTTCTTGATTACTTGTTTGATTTACTTAACATTGACAAATTTGACTTTCCCTCGGTTGACTTTTATTTGTTTGAAATTGTGTTGAAACTGGTGCAGAGATAAACGAGTCATCTCCCTGCAAATGCTTCCTTTTTTTTTGTTGGACACCCTGTACATGTATTGAATTTGTTTTAAAGCTCAATGGTTGTTTTTATTTTTTTGCTTTTATTGATGAAAAAGATATCACTTGCCATCAAGTGAGGGCTTTTAGGCTCTGATCTCTGAATAAACCCCAATTCCTTTCTATTTCAGGCTAAAGAGTACGGCCGAAAAGCTATCGTTGCCAGTGACCAAGTGAAGGATGATGACTTTTCACAGTCGTTGGTGGAATTCATGAAGTTGTGTGAGCGGCAAGGCACTGTCAACTAAGAACAACTAAAGATTGAGCAGTAACTCCTGAAGGAGAACTATTTGCCTTTCTGGAATCTTCTGGAAATAGGGAAAAGTTGGAATGTTCTAAGCGTTTTATTTCTTTTCTGGTCTTTGTGTCCTTTGGTGTTTTAGCATTGCTACCGTTTAATTTTTTTTTACAATTCGGACAGTTTGTTTTTGAGTAATTTCTTGATCTAAGTAATAAGCACCACTAGTTATCGGGTAATGAGGATTTAGATGAATGTGAAAACTGAGGCTTCTGTGATGAGGTTATGAAAGTCTGTAAATTTTGTGTGTGTGTCTGTAAAAGAGAGAGGAAAAGAGAGAGAGAGAGAAAGAGAGAGAAAGAGAAAGAGAGAGAGCACCGTTCTATTTATCCAAACTGCATGAACGAGTCAGACGAGGTTCTGTTGCTGAGACTCAAATTTTATACTTCTGTGCTAACATTCAACCATGTCACATAGTGATTTCCAGGAAGGAGTTCAATCCATTCAAACAAAGGAATATGTTCACTGTTTCCAAACAATCAACCAAAGCCACAACTGACCTGCAAATAATTGTTATGATGGTCTTGTCTGTTGAATAATAATGATGTATAATAGTTTTTCCTTGGAAAGAAAAATGAAATAAAGATTATAATCTTTTCTATTTTCAACAAATCTATATATGTTTATCTTTATAAGCAATATTTCGAACCTTCAAGCAATATATCTCATCAGGCCAGCTGTATGAAGCTGTAGCTTACACCCAGGGATTATTATGTGGGAATTTCAGAGTGGTAGGTCTGGATCCTGCTCGCTAAATTTGAGAGTGGCGATTTGCGATTCAGTCGGCTTCAAAGAATTGCGAGTACGCAAGCGCTCGTGGAACTGTGGCCGAACACTGACTGAAACAGAACAGTGTCATATCAACGCCATTTGGCGAGCGCGAGTCCCACTCTTGTTCCGCCATCTTCTCCGCCCAACACCCTTTGTTGCGCTGCTCTATCAACTGACCTCAATTAGTGACCCCCATAAATTCACCCCTCCCCCCCAACCCCATGATTCGCTAAAACAATTGCTCCATAAAATTCCTTCTGTCTATTGGTTGGACCCCGTTCATTTTGTTTTAATAGGGGGGTTGGACTATGCCATCTTTTGTAAAATAAGGGGAGCCATACTAAGTGTTCCGTTCCGTTCTTGTACTCGTGACTCGACTCAGCAGTAGGTTAAACAAGCCACAAGGTGGTGACAGCGACTGGGGAGTGAATCGGGAATCGTTTGGCGATACTGTTCCGCGTTCCGCTAAAGTGAATCGTGAATCGCGTTCCGCAGGCAAGAGTGGCAATTCAGTTCCGTTCTCGCGACCCAGCCCTACCGTGTGGGGAACATTTTTATCAAGTATCTTGGCCCTTCTGCTGATACCTTGAACTCCTCTCTGTCATGGTTGGCCCAGACAGGCAGGGTCAACGCCAGCCCCCTACATGATTTAGATTGTGTTGATGGGCGCCTAAAACACATACTCGAACCTGCCCCTCCCCCCAGTAAACAAACAAAAAAGCAAAGCTGTAGTGTCCACCATTCTTTTGTCTACTTTTCTTGTTTTCCGTCTCCTCTTTTTCTTTCACTTCTGTTAAGGTGCCTACTCAGTGCAACTTTCAACAGCTGATATTTTAAGATGAACTTCATAACAAGATTTTTCTTAGCAGTTGCAATTTGGGCAGATTCACTAAATGCCAAAACTCCCAGTGAAAAATGTAGTTTTTTTAAAAGGACTATTTGTCGGTTCGGCATAGCCTTTGTGCAGGGGGGCTAGGCTTACAAAAAAAAACCCCAAACAACTGTTGTCATATATACAGTGGCAGCTTTTCTACTCAAGGTGGATTAGAAGCTAAAGCTAGTTTTTGTGGATGGACAGGGTAAATGATGTTGTTTTTTTTATTCCTGTGTTTACATACATTATTATACCATATTGTGCAAAGTATACATGTGCAAGAAATTCATCTTCTTTAGGTCTCAACTGTTTTTTAAAAGAGGATACAAATACGGTACTACTTTTTAAAAGAAGGAAGTAAAACTTGCTTGTTTTTGCATATGGCTCCAGTTCCTGAAAGACACAACTAGATCTATAGCTGCAATCCCTACTGCGACCCCCCGCCCCCTGATCCTTTCAGGCCGAGGCATGCACTCGAGCATAATATGGAGTTAAAGCTAGGGTCTCTCAGACTCAATTTACCCAGCCGCCGCTGGAGGTAGAGTCTGGATGAGCGTGGTCTATATCAAATATTTCACAAGAATGTTTTAAGCATTACAAAAAAGTACAAATAATGATATCATTTTCTTAATCTTTACTATGTACAATTCAGAACGTGAACGGTTCTTCGGAACATTGGCTTTTTAAAAACCTACTTTTTGCTGCCGAAGACCAGGCATCGCTTCCTCTTACATACTCGGCCATATTCGGCTTGAGGGAGGAAGCAAATGGGACCCTAAGTTTGAATTGTAGATGTTCGTCAGTAAGTTTGGATCTGCGCTTTGGCTTTTTAGTTAGAGTTTTGCGGCTCTTGCAACACAATAAGGACATGCAAGTGCCGAAGGTTAGAGATGGCACAAGAGAGAAGCGAACACAAAAAAGGGGGAGAGGTCAGGACGACAGATGTTTGATAGGAAAGAGTACTTTGGCTTACAGAAGTTCGTGGTGCAGAAGAGTTTTTTACACATGCACGCACGCACGCACGCACACACACACACACACACACACACACACACACACACACACACACACACACACACACACACACACACACACACGCACACACACACACACATACTTGCATGCTACTAAAAAGGTCATGAGGCTGGCGAGAAACGCGTGTGGGCCGCACTGACACTAACCTAAAGTTGGCGCCGAAAAATAATGTCTTGGGGGCCTCTAATTGGCCTACATGCTGTGAGTTTGAGACTCCTTTTTTAAAGGAAATCTAAAAGGTTTACAAAACCCCACATGAGCATTCAAACGGGTGTCAGCTGGCTTATGCCATAATTGAAGAATAAAAATGCAATGGAAAAAGTGAAATGCCATAGTTTATAGTCAGAAAAGATAAAAAGTATCCATGTGTATTGCGTAAACTTGTCATTCAAATGCACAGGTAAATTATTTGTTAGATGAATACAAACGTGTACATTGTACAAAATAATCAATGAGGACAATGTGTCAAAAAAAAGAGGGCGCATTTAGAGGACAATTTCTGGGTCACACTCGCACCAATTTCAACAAACTTTGAAAAAATAAAATCCAAACCAGGAGACGTCAAATTTGTCAGTTTGAAGCAAATCAATTTTCGTATTCAAGAAATATCAAGTTTTTAAAGCTCCGACCTAAATTGGTTAAAACACAAAACTTTACTCCCTAAAGTAAAAGCCTTTTTTTGACAGTCTGTGGAAACACCCGCAAAGAACTGAACAGTTGATGAAAGTCAATGTTGAGGCGGATGTCTAAAGAATCGACTCAGAAATGCGCCGGGGGTAATTGAAATAACCAGTGGCGTAATCGAACTTGTCAGGAGAGAAATGGTCAAAATCTGGAGCACATACTCATAATTCGTAACTTTGAAAAAGCACTGTAGTCAGACCTTTCCCAAGTTTATTTGACAACGTCAATTTTATATAAATTTGGTTGAAATTTTAGAAACATAACAAGTTTCGAGCACGTAAATTGATTTCTTTTATATTGATAAAATTTGACGTCCTCCAGGATGAAATTTATGTGTTCGGAGTTTTGTTGAAATGTGTCGAAATTTGATAGAGTCATAGCCCTTTAAACGGGTCTTTAACGCCCAGTGTGTGTTGACTGCGGATCTTATGTGCATTTCATGTGGTCATTAAAGACTCGTGCATAAACAAAAGCATCTTAACATGGTTACACAAATATCCGCTATCTTCCCTTTCACAGACGTCAAATATCAGAACAGAATAAAGTCTAGGCTTTAAGAAATCGACTAGTACAATGGTCGTGGTCATGTTGGTTACTTAACAAAAATACATGCAAATCAGTGAAGAACAAGACACGTTTTTAAATGCTAATACATTCCTCTTTCATATAAGGAGACACAGAATGATTCCTCTTGTTCTATTGCACATACCCGACCGTTGATACGTCGGCTAGTCCAGTTGAGGCAAGTGAATGTCTGCATAGAAAATCTAGCAATTATGCATGTTCTCTCTCTCTCTCTCTCTCTCTCTCTCTCTCTCTCTCTCTCTCTCTCTCTTTTTCTTTCATTTAATCTCTCCGTCTCTCTTTGTGTTATTCTCCCTCTTTTCTATATATCCCTCTGTGTGTGTTTGTGTGTGTGTGTGTGTGTGTCTGTCTGTCTGTCTGTCTGTCTGTCTGTCTGTCTGTCTGTCTGTCTGTCTCTCACACACACACACACACACACAAACAAACAAACAAACACACACACATCTCTTCTGTCTCTATTTATGTCTGTCTCTGTCTTTGTCTTTTCCTACTTGATTATCAGTCTGTCCGTTTGAATGTAGTATGGTATTTATTCATACATTCAGCCACATCGTACAGTATGCAAGCAAACACAAACATGGTGTAGTAATGTTATGAAACAAATGCGTGTGAACATAGACACATAGCCTACACACGCATCCACTAAAACGAGCCCACAAACAACTCGTACATTACACATACACACCCGCTAAAACACGCCCACAGTGCATCTATTCAAACACGCCCACAACCCACACACAGCCTACACACGCACCAACTAAAACACGTGCACAGTCAATATATAATCCACACACATGTACACATGGACCCACTCAAACATGCCCACAACCCATTCATATCCCACACATGCATCTACTCAAACACTTCCATAACCCCCCCCCCCCCCCCCCCCCCCCCACACACACACACAAACACACGCATCTACTCAAACACTCCCACAACCCACAAATGCTCCAAACGTACATCCACTCAGACACACCCACAACCCACGAATGCCCCAAATGTACATCCACTGAGACACTCCCACAGCCCACTAATACTAATACCCTACACGTGCATCCACTCAAACATACACACAACCCACTAATACCCCACAAGTGCATCCACTCAAACACTCACACCTCTATCGCAAAAATGCCCAGAAGCACGCCACTAACAAACTCATACCCATCGTTTTCTTATCATACATAAAGTATTGTATGTGTTACAAAAATTAAGCATAGAGTTACAGTGGTCAACAGCAATACTTGGTCACAAATCCACCATTTTGATTGGGAACAGTAAGCCTAGAGTCAGTGCTTATACTAACCTTTCTATGGCCAGTGCCCACTTTTGCCACCTTTAAGGGGGCAAAAATTTCTGTACCGCCTACCTAAATTATGCATTTTCAAGCGAAACATAAAATAATAAAATCAAATTTCATTACCCGGGTGACACCCTCCGACCTTCAAAAATACCAGATTGTCCACTTGCGGACGGTATCACCCAGGTATGAAAGCACTGTATTTAGTGTACTACTCCAGAGTACAGCGTTTATTTGCAAAATTTGTCACTAACTGTTGACTTTGACTGGGAACAGAGAGCACGCTTTAAGTTATTAATTTAAAGAATATAGCTAGAGCAAGCAAGCCCTTCTGGTATTCCTCATTGTGTCTTCTCACGTCACATGAAATATTTTATCAAGTTGAGGTAGACCTACGTGTGTTGCAAGCGTCTGTAAAATGTTGACTCTTGATGGGGAGTTATTTTATAGTCTGTTCAAGAGAGCATACATTGTTTTCAAGTATTAGCTACTGTTTGCTTTTATTTTTTCTGCTTTTGTAGGCTCTAGATCTACATGTTTTTTTTTTTGGTACTCCTTCGTCGACACGATTTAGATCTTTTTAGGAGGCGGGTTTTGACCGTGCCTGCCAAGGCCAACTTAGTCTTAGAGGGATACAACATCCCAGCCGAAAGACCAAAATACTTGATAAGATTTCTTTCCACTTGGGATTCGAACTCACGTCTCCCGCATGCGACAGTGAATCGATTATCCGCCACACTATACACGCTCGTGAAGCGGGGGCAAAGATGGAATCGACCATTAGAAACGAAGCTTTTGTTTACGTGACAGTTTTACGACACTTGCAGCACAGTTAGTTCAAATAGGAGTCGAAGAGTAGAAGTTGTATAAGGGAGTAATAAACTCACAAAAAGAAGTGAAGATAAGGACGATTGGTGTTTGACAGGAAAGAAGGAGAAAACCACACAGAGCATCCGACAACCACCTACAACGAAGCTTTAGTAGCTTTTCTTATTGCTTAAGTAAATAAGTCATCGACACAATTGCTGTAAGAGTGTGACGAATTTTACTATCGCTTGCTTGCTCATGCTATCGTTTTAGCTTTATAGCGTTAAGTAGCCCTATTTTTGTTTTGGCTGCCCGCACCACCATCCTCTACCCATCCAACCTCAAGCTTAGGTGCGTTTCAAATCGGTACTTTAGAATGACAACGTTCTATCTGCCAAGAACCTAGTTTTAAGAAATTTGATGTTAAAAATTTTGATCTTCACAAGTCAAGCTTATTAAAAATGCAATTTTTTTGATATCTAGATAATGACTCCGAATAATTTTACGATTTTGATAGTGCAGATAGAACACAAGGTTTCTAACATCATGGCATAAGTAACTCAAAACGGCCAAAAATGTCAGATAGGTTTAATAGTACGGGGTTTTACGGCGCTTGCAACTGCATAAGGTCATATGAACGCATAATTGTCAGATAAAACTTTATTATTCTGAGGTAGCGACATAATATCTAGATCTCTGCTCACTTTCCTCTGGGTCTTACAAAAAAGTATAGTTGGCGCTCATATGACCTTATGCTGTTGCGAGCGCCGTAAAACCCTCTACTATTAAAAAAAATATAGAACAATAATGACATGGGGCAGTTTATAATGTGCCGATGGGGACGTGAAACACCTCTACATTTAAATTTAGATTTAAATTTTAAAAACTTATTTACTTCTTACTGCACAAACCACAACCACAAGAGCAGTAGCAATGGCAACAACGATAGCACCATGGAATAACAGCCACAACAGCAGCTTCAGCTACAGCAGCAACAACAGCAGAAGGGTATACACAAGGACATGAGAACAGCAGCAACAACATGAAATAATATAAGGAAACTTTTTGAGCAAAGAGAAGTGTGTTGACACCCCAGCAGTCAATCAGTGCAGGCAGGGAAATGGCAAGACGGAATAAAGAGAAGCACATCAATGCAATGATGGTCATTTGTGTGGTATCACAGTGAAATCGGGCGCTCGTCAAAATAATAAAATCGAATAAACCGACATTCCTTCTTCATGTTGGGCAATTAATTTTTTCCTTCTTTTTTTTCGTTTTGTTTTAAGCTCAACACCTTTCATATCCATTCAAAAACACATTTCTGTGTGGGTAACCCCTCCCCCCCAAAAAACCCAAAACCAAAACAAAACAAAAAACAAAACAAATAACACAATTGATCAGAGACAGCAAATACATGTACTTGTAGTTTCCAAGGACACTACACTTTTGGAAGTTACAACACTTTGGCAACCGCTTTCTCGCTACTTTGTACCTTTGACATCAGACGACCCCGACCTCATTCAATCGCAAATATACTGACTTTTATTCGTGAGAGATGGGTATTTTTTTCATAAAAGCAAGGGGAATTGATTACATCAATAACTTCAAACGCCCCAACAAAAAAAAAAGACAAAAAAAGACGGGTGCCTGATTTCACCTTGACACGTTTAGTGCAGGGGAAAAATAAGATATAACTACAAAAGCAACAGCGAGAAAGAAGATAAGTAGGACCTACCAACGTTCAACTAAAATTTAAATCTTTGATGGATAGACATGAAGGAGAAGAAGAAGAAGAAGAAGAAGAAGAAGAAGAAAAAGAAGAAGAAGAAGAAGAAGAAGAAGAAGAA